CGGTTCTGATAAACTAATATGAAGAACCTTCTGAAAAGCTCATAAGGATAGCCTGGCTGGACCAGACCAAGGCCATATTTGCTTTAAGCATTTAAGCTACACCTGACTCTATACTGATTTGGGAGAATCCTGTTTGGGAACACTGTTTGCAAGTAATTCAGTCCAAGCGACTGAGTCGTGGTGGTGCAGTGGTTAAAGTGCAGTATTGCAGGCTAATTCTGCTGACTGCCAGCAGTTTGATCCTGACCAACTCAAGGTTGACTCAGCCTTCCGAGGTCCGTAAAATGAGGAGCCAAATTGTTGGCGTCAATATGCTGACTCTGTAAACTGCTTAGAGAGGGCTGTGAAGCACAGTGAAGCAGTACATAAATCTAAGTGCTAGTGCTATCTATCATTGGATGGTTCCTACTGGCTTTTAAAACTCTTGTTTTCACAAAAATATATCTGGGTACTCTTTTGTAGTATTTCCTTGATTCTTCTGCAACCTATTTTGTGCCCCTTAAATATACTTTGGGAAATGGCTGTTTTTGAGCAAGAGTAAGGACATGCATTAGGAAAAGTTAGCTCAAGTAATAGTGGTTGGAACTCCTGAAGCAGCATTGATTTTGTTTGACCTGCAAATTTTTTTTCCCCGTTCTTCTCATCAGAAAGGAATGAGCAGATATGGCAAATAGTTTAATCTTCATCTGAATATTGGATGGGATTCCTAGTGTTGAGAGCGAGTGCTGGATCATCCAACTAGCTTTGTGACTATTAGACATCTAAAGGATAATACTATGTGCTTAATTTATTAATATTCAATGAGTCTTTATTTAATAGTGATTTAAAGAAAATGTATTCTGTTGTTTTGCATTATGAATGTTTGGGCTATTTCATTCATGTAAATGGAAGAGGCTTTTTAAAAATCTGAATAATATTTTGAAAAGCTGTTCATGCCTCTACCCTCTAAAATTAAAAGTTCTGCATATAGGCATGTGACTCAAAAATACATAATTTCTATTGACCTGTGTTTTTATTTGAAAAATAGTAAAAAAAAAAAAGTCTTTAAAGCCAACCTCAACTTCTAGTGAATTTATTTTGATGTAGCTTTCTTGGCAGTAATAGAAAAATGGTTCCTCTTTCTGTTTCTCTGAAAATTCTTCCATTGTTTAGTCTAGCCAACTAGATCTCCTGGTGTTATCCCATCCAAATACTAAGGAGACCCTATCTGGCTCAACTTCTTGATATCAGTCAGAATCAGCTAGCTCACGGTTTCTGTTAAGGATATTCTTGGCTCACAATCGATGTTGTGGGTTATTGAGCAGAGTACCCTTTGAGGTTACGCACGAAAGCAACTGAGAATGATTGTGGATAATAACAGTTAACATACAAACAAACTGGGTTTTGATAATATTTTACTTTTAGGGAAAGCGCAAAATCATAGTCCAAAACCATTCCAAGTCATACACATATAAAGTGAGATAAAGATCAGTCCAGGGATATTTTCCAATATAAAGTCTTCTTACAGTTGTAGAAAAATAAAATAAAACAGATCTTCTTCAGTTTCATTCAGGAACAAAGTTCAATATAAAAACAGTCAATAAATAATAGAAAAGCAATAAATAGCCATGATCAAGCAATGATCATGCAGAGAGATCAAATATAGTGTTACAGCATATCAGCAGGTAAAATGGTGTTATGTCCACACAAACCATAATTCAGCTTTCCTTAAATACATTGGCTACAGAGCTCAGCCAATCAGGATGCATGATGATGCAACACCGTTTTTAAAGCTACATAATACTTTTAGCTACAAACACACAATGTTGGTTTATATATTTCCTGATCAACCAGGTGGGCAATAACAATTTCCTAACGGTTTCTCAATTTCAGCAACTTTTAAGATACATTCAACTTCAATTCTCAGAATTGCTGGCTGGGGAATTCTGGGAGTTGATGTCCACATTAGTTCAAGTTGCCAATATTTAAAAACTGAGTTTGATGATGACATGTAGCTCCAAGGAAGAATTTGTGCTTTTAGTTGGTTAAATTAATTTAGGTAATCAAATATTACAATTGTTGTTATGAATATAACTTCATTTCTTTTGTTAGCAAAATATGAAAGGGCTAAGCAGCAAAATTAGTGGACCAGAGGAATGCTGTCGATATAATTTACTTGGACTTCAGTAAAGCATTTGATAAAGTAGACCATAACCTACTAGATAAAGTAGAAAAATGTGGGTTAGACAGCATCACCACCAGATGGATTTGTAACTGGCTGACCAACCGTATTCAACGTGTAGTCCTCAATGAAACTGCATCTACATGGAGGGAAGTATGCAGTGGAGTACCCCAAGGCTCTGTTTTAGACCCAGTACTCTTCAGCATCTTCATCAATGACTTGGACGAGGGGATAGATGGGGAACTCATCAAATTTGCAGATGACACCAAGCTGGCAGGAATAGCCAACACTCCAGAAGATAGGCTCAAGATACAGAAGAATTTTGACAGACTTGAACATTGGGTGCTATCTAACAAAATGAAATTCAACAGTGAAAAAATGTGGTACTTTGCTCAATAGTGGTAACTGTGAGAGGGATCTTGGAGTCCTAGTGGACAACCATTTGGATATGAGCCAGCAATGTGCAGCAGCTGCCAAAAGAGCCAACACAGTTCTGGGCTGCATAAACAGAGGGATAGAATCAACATCACGTGAAGTGTTAATACCACTTTATAATGCCTTGGTAAGGCCACACTTGGAATATTGCATTCAGTTTTGGTCTCCATGATGTAAAAAAGATGTTGAGACTCTAGAAAGAGTGCAGAGAAGAGCAACAAAGATGATTAGGGGACTCAAGGCTAAAACATATGAAGAACGGTTGCAGGAACTGGGTATGTCTAGTTTAATGAAAAGAAGGACTAGGGGAGACATGATAGCAGTGTTCCAATAACTCAGGGGTTGCCACAAAGAAGAGGGAGTCAAACTATTCTCCAAAGCACCTGAGGGTAGAACAAGAAGCAATGGATGGAAACTAATCAAGGACAGAAGCAACTTAGAACTAAGAAGAAATTTCCTGACAGAACAATTAATAAGTGGAACAACTTGCCTGCAGAAGTGGTGAATGCTCCAACACTGGAAATTTTTAAGAAGATGTTGGATAACCATTTGTCTGAAGTGGTGTAGGGTTTCCTGCCTGGACAGGGGGTTGGACTAGAAGACCTCCAAGGTCCCTTCCATTCTATTCTATTCTAAAATAAATGAAAACTCTTGCAACATGCTTAGCTTAATGCAATTGAAAAAAAATTAATATATAGCTGTCAATTTGCAATCTTGCATTTAATTGAATAGCGTCCCAAATTTTTAAAAGTTATTTACTAGTAAAATGGAATAATGGTTTTCCTCATAATGTGTAGGATTCAGATATGAACCTGGTTTCAGTTTTCTACCGTATATTAAAACAAAACAACTACAATCTGTATGTCTGTCAGCCAACCTTGTGTGGCTTTTGTCTTATTATTTAGTAAGCTATCAAAGTATTTTTATAGAATTTATCTAGGTTTCCATATTCCCACTCATATCAATGCTATTTTTGTATCTTACTATGAATATCAGTAAATATATTTATCAATCTGTAATCTAAAGCACATTTACAATTTAATCCATATCACTGGATCTATAAAAAAAACCTGGCTGAGGTTTTAAAATTTAAAAGGGAAACAAACACAAATGACAAACCAAAAGAGAGACCTAAATATTTTACTCCTATTGACTTTACAAAAGAGGCTTATTGGGGCCTTGAAGAACTTGTGCAATGGGCTGAAGAAAAAATGATCAGAAATCAAATCCTACAACAATATTTGAATGAACTAAAAATTAAGACTGTTAGAAGTAAAAGGAAGTAAAGTTGGTTTATTTGATCAAGGCTAAAACAGGAGGTGTTATTTCTGACAACCCTTCATGGAATTTCTGGTGACACAAGGACTAAAAAGATGCTTTCTTATGGATTTGTTTATAGATAAGAGACAGTATATGAAATGAAGAGATAAATGTTGGTAACCTTAGAAGGGGTGAAGAGTCACTAAATTTGCTTATACTTGTGAAGGTTGGAAGTCTCTCAAACACACACACACACACACACACACACGTATCTTTATTGTATTGCATTTCCCTCTTCTTTTTTCTTGCACTTCTTTCTCTTCTCTTTTTCTTGGTTTGTATTAGATTTTACTACTATAATCACAATTCTTTTATACTCACATACATATACATCTTTCTGCATGTCTCTTCCATGTACTGGATGTCTCCTTCATGTATTTTATCCTTTATCCTTCAGGTACTGCAGCCTAACATTGCTGCTTATACTCCAGTTAACTCTGCATTTCTTTAATTTTCTTCCTTTCAAAAACTGCCCTATTTTTAAAGCCAAACACAAACCAGTTGGCATTTTTATTCCGCAGAGTGTTTTCATTTCTTCTTGTCTAGAGGTGCCCAACTTTGATTGGTGAACAAGTTTATTTCATGTTACAGGTAATTTATAAAGCTATCAGGCAACACTGACCTCAACTGGCTTCTCTTTCTCATTTTTTCCAATATGTTGGTTGATTAAAAGTCTGTGATAAACAAAATTCAAATACTTAAACGAGCCGATTGCACAATCATGTTTTTTTCATAGTATTTTTTTTTTTTTGCTAGGAATGCTGCAAAGATTTATTTTGTTCATTTTTCAAATTAACCTATTTCACTTCTCTGACAACTTTGTGGAATGGAGTAATATCTTCTGGATAACACACTTCTTAAATTTAGTAAAGCAGTTCTCAGTTAAAAGAAATACATAAATACGGCTCATTTTAAAGGAATGTTTAAAGGAAAGTCTATCTTTTGGGGTAAATGCATATAACATAAAGGTATGTTTAAAAATAATACAAAATATATCACGACATTTTTGCCTTTGCGGAGCTGGGGTGGGCGTGGCCTGCGCGTGATGCATCCGGCCTGTGGGCCGCCAGTTTGACACCCCTGATCTAATATGTATCTCGCGGTCTTGACAATGATCAAGGCCAAATCCTGTCACTTTTCCTCCATGACCTCCTTTCCTTTGTAGCGCAATATGCTTCCACTCTGACGTTGTCACTAATACTCAACTAAACTAAATACTCCCAATCCACACTCTGCATTCCTTATTCCTCTGGTTTCAGAAAATCTTCCTGCAAAAAAACAAAACAAAACCAGAATGCTATAATCAGGGGCAACATTGCTTTACTTACCAGGAATCTCAAATCTCACTTGATTTCTTTTAAATAAGATTATTCTTTATTAAATGACATTTGTTGCTAATGCCAATGATGCAAAATGAAGATGTTATGATCCTTCCAAAAAAAAGAAAAAGAAAAGAAAAAAGAAAAATGTATCCTCACAAGCACAAAAGAGTTTCCTGTTTTTTAATGGTTGCCTTATTTTGAAATTTTAACACAATGAAATAGAGCTGATAACCACTTCTACTTATGAATATAATCATCTCAGAATCTTTTGCATTAGGTATCATGGAACATGACAGACATGCCATGTACGTAGTCTGTTTTTCTGTTCACCATCAACTCATTTTCAAAGTTGGTTGAATGGAAATATAATATCCTGACTGCCATTATCTGTTACCTGAATCTTTGAATGTGTCAATGTCTGAATAAGACAACTGCAAAACTTCAGTTGCTAAGAGAGACAATTATTGAGTTTTGCCCTACTTTACAACCTTTGTTGCCACAGTTGTTAAGTGAATCACTTCAGTTGTTAAGTTAGTAACACGGTTGTTAAGTGAATCTGGCTTCCCCATTGACTTTGCTTGTCAGAAGATTGGAAAAGATGATCACATGACTCTGGGACATTGCAACCATCATAAATATGAGTCAGTTGTCAAATGTCTGAATTTTGATCATATGACCATGTGGATCCTACAACGGCTGTTAAGTGTGAAAAATGGTCATAACCCACTTTTTTTTCCAGTTTCGTTGTACCTTTGAATAGTCACTAAATGAATGGTTGTAAGTGGAGGACTTCCTGTATTAACAAAACAGTTTCAGAGGATGAATTGCATTCTTAAAAAAAGAAGAGGAGCTGATCATAACAAGCTAGGTTATACTGAAGATGCAGAAGAGAAAGGAGAAATAGCATACATTTTGCAGGCGTAATGTGAATGCATAATAAAAACATACAACTTACAGAAGCCACTGTATTTAGAGTATTAAGAGATAGGTGGGTATTTCTGAGGATAGTAGAATTAAATAGTAAACAGTCAGATACGCAGTGTCAAAGATAGAGTTCCTCTGCAGTCCTTCAGAAACTATTGAAATAAGCATTATCTATGCTTCTTAGGGGGCCAAGACTCAGCAACTTTGGGAGAACATTCTCCATTTTTGCTACGCAGGCAAGCCAAATAGAAGACAGGCGTGCTAGTATGGGATTTATTATATGTTAAAAATACATATTTTGGTCAAAAATTAATGACCTCACACTGTACTCAGGAGCAGATTTTCTTCTGTACAGACTGCAGAGGCAGAAACACAAGGAAGCTGGGTTTGGAGTCTATGCTTACAAATGGAGCTTAAGGAATAATATTTATTCTGCATAGTTTCTCTGAATAATTTATTTTGATGTCCCTTAGGGATCCTGTTCTCTCTAGTATCTTTAAAATGTATATAAAGGGCATATTTTGGCAAGAGAAGCTGCTCTTGTGCAGGTATTAGAAAAGCTGTTCCCGCTAGATTTCTCTCTTGGAAACCATAATAAACATTTGAGTTAATAATTTGAGTTGTTCGGTGAAGGCTGCAGTTCTAAGAGGAACTAATGGAGATACCCATCTAGAATACCCCAAATATTTCCATGACATTAAAAAAAAAGTCTGCCAAAAACTGACTATGCCGTAACTCAAACGAAGCCTATACAGTTTATCATCCCATCATCCCAACTCAAATAAAGAATACAAGAAAAAAGATTCACCTTTTATTCTGCTCCTACAGTGAGTATTTTAAAAAACAACAGCAGAGATATGATGGGGAAAGCCAATCTTCTCAAGTTTTCCTGTCTTTGCACACCAGACAGTATGTTTCTCTCTGCTGCCTGTAAATTGGTCTCCGAAGTTTCTCAGCTTGCCCGTGGACCGATCAATCAAAAGAGTTTCTGAGCTTTGTTCAAAGTGAATTAAGCTGAGAAAAAGAACATCAGGCTTCTCTAGTCCAAGTCACAGCTCTTGCGGTCCATGTTGTTAGCCAACATCTTAAATCAATGCTGGAACTTGCTGGCTTGTAAGGTGGGCACTCCAAATTTCTTGAAATAAAAAGTGAGATGGACATCCCTGAGGCCATTGTCTGAGATCTCTGGGTGCACTAAACATGAAAGGCCCTTGCAGATTCAGCCAGTCACAAACAAACAAACAAACAAACAAACCCCCAGCCAAAAAATAAAATAAAAGAATTAATAGTGTCTCTGTGAACCTGTATTCTGTTCAAAGACATATTTCTCCCCAAATATTCTCAGATTTAATTCAGAGGTTTAGATTTTAGCTCTGTACAGATGGAGATTCTCATTCGGCTCATTTCCTGTCCTTCTTTCCAGGAAGGATATCTGTAATCCAGTAGCGAAACAAAGAAGAGATTGCCGTGACTTGATCTGCGAAAGAGAAAACAAATTCTTCACAAAACGTCACACAGTTTTTAGCAAACCTGTATCTTACAATAGGACTGAAAGTCTTTGCAATTCCTTGAATGAAGCATTTCAAGAAACTTGATAGCTGTTCTTAGAACTGTTCTTATATATAAATTATAAATGCCTGTTCTTCCTTTTTTTTTTTTGCACTGAATTACAGAGTTTAAAAAAAAAACCACAAGCTTGATCACAAAAAGAAGTGGTGTCCTGCTTGGTCCTAGTCCTCATGAGGTGCTAGATTTGAAAAGCAGATCTCTTGCCAAAGCTTTCTGCTTTGCAGTCAGTTGCGACGGCCCCGTTCCTTCCTAGATAGCACCCATATTTTGGAAAGGGTGGGAAGAAAGCCACAAAAGGAAACACTGGGAAGAACTCATAAAATCAGGAGAAGTGGCACCCATTTTAAACCCAGCCCAGGTCAATTTGTTGCCCACCAAACATCTGCAGCAATTGCTACCAGCTGCAGATTCCATGGCCAAAGGCAGAGGATAGCAGGCATCCTACCTCCAAACAGCTACAGCAGCAGGCAGGAATTCAACCAGAAAAGTGCAGGGTTGTGTCTGGCCTGGCGCAAACACAGCGAATGAGGTCTCCGTCCCAGGGTTTTAAATATTTCCTTTAAAAGGTCTCAATAAAGATTGCAAAGATTTGGGGGGGGGGAAGAAACTTGATAACTGTTTTACAAAAACTTCAATCGGTTGATCTCCAATACAAATTCTTTCCAGCAAAGAGCTTTCCAAATTTATACCATGAAGTCCTGGACTTTTCCTTATTACCACTTTGATCTAGCAGTTAAGGTACTGGAACCTGAGAGGGGGACCTGGACTCTGATCCTGTCTTAAGCACAGAAAGCAACTGGGTGGTTTGTGGCCACTTATTTTCTTTCAGTCCTTATTTCCTTTCAGTTAGCAATCCTCCTCCAAAAGTGCTGCCTAGATGGATAGATAAAAATTAAAATCCCACACCATTCTTTCCAATGCATTGCTTTCCATTTTCAATATCCTTGTCTATCCCCTATGCTACTAATTGTACTGGTTTACCAGTACCATTTTCTTCCTTTTCTGTTCAGTCTTCAGTTTTACTGCCAGTCTTTCCCCCCTTCTCCTTTTGTGGGAGGGGGGGTTAAACATTTCCTCTGTACATTTCCCCACCTTTATCTGCCAGTATACATTATTTTTTATTCTCTTTTCTCTCTCTCTCTGCCTCTGCTTCTTCATTTCTCCCTAAAGGCTTTCTCATTCTTTTACACCTTGGAGGCAGCCCTTGCTCTGATTTCAAAAGCTTTCTGGAAGAGCTGACCCTTTTCAGTTTTAATTGCGCTCCCGCTGCCAGCAGGAAGGTCCTTAAAACATTATTCCGGAGGGACAAAAGTTTTTGAAAAGACGCCACCAATAACAACCCCATCCCTCCTTTAAACTTTGCTTAGACTGATCTTCTAGTTAGGACTCCTAGTTCCTTAATACTTATCCAGCTTCAGTTCTTTGATTTGGATTTCTTACTTAGAAATCTCTCTTAATATCTGTTTTTCCTGTTCTCTCTCATTTGCTACATCCCTTTGAATCATTAGCGTAAAATCCCCTCTGTTTTTGCATATCATTAGGTTCTCCCCTTCCCCACCCATTCCTGCCTTTCCCATCTACTCCTTTATTCTTTAAAATAGGAATCAGTACGTAGGCAAAGTCTTGTTTGGTTTTAAACTTTAGAATGGTTATTAATTTACACATTTTATCAATGAAATATGATTAGGCACAACTGTGATCTGCCCCAAGTTTGTTTACTTAAAGTCATGTTGTTTCCAGGTATGCAAATATATGCAAACCTTAATTTTTTATTTTTGCTAACATACAACACAGGAATAAATTACGGACATTAATATTTTCAAAGCAAAAACCCAATTCCTGTCTCAAATGTAACTTTCCACCTGTAAATGTTGCTAGCAACTTTTAGTAGATTGGTCTACTTGTTTCCTTAAGTACACTGATGTCATTTCCAAATGTACAGTGCTTGAGGTCCATCTGATACTACATATAGTCACATGGAATTTAATTGGAATATTACCACTGCAGGCACAAAGGAAGGGTTATAATAAGGTATAATATTGATAGCTAACACCCATCTCTGGCAACCATGCAATTGGTGCAATTTAAATTCTTAAGACAAGTGGCAGTAGCTGGCAAATCTTTGGTTTGTTCAGACTAGTTAGTATCTGTTTGAATACAGGAACAGTATGACAAAAGTGAAAAAAATACACATTATCACTATATCCTGGAAGAGGATAAAACCAAACTACTTCCATATGTATTAGGGATCAGGCTATTCAAAAATACAGCACTAGAAGTTTATTTCATGCTATCTATTCAGAAGAATCTGAACTACTAACAGTCAAAGAAACTTGGTGCCAGATAAGAGTCAGCGGACTTAAAGGGGGCTGGATTTACATTTCTTATGGGAGCGTAGAGACTCCAAACTGATGATGCACTTGACCCCACCCTCGAATTCAGCCTGGCCGCTTCTTACATACAGGCATAAAGAAAAATGATGCGGACATGTCTACAAAGTCATCAGGAATCAAATTTGATCTGAGGTCACCTTTACTTTTCAAGACTGGAGTCTAACTTTAATAAAGGCAGCCCTTGTTATTCGTAGTCTCGTGATACCTAGTTTTGCATATCCAGATTTGGTACCTGCATAAACATTTTGCCTATTCATAGATTGGGGTGTGGGTTTTTTTGTTATTCTTTGTCCCAAACTTCATATGCAAATTTATTTATTTATTCCTAAGGATTAAGACTAGGTTTCTTACACTTGTATTTGTTCCTCCTTTTCTGTTGGTCAAGACAGATTATGCTAGCCTAATTATGAGCTAAGTAGTCTGTGGGCAGCACAAGCATCCTAAAGAGTGATCAAGAGCCCCCTTCAAGATCATGAAAAAATCATGTGGAGCTGAGAAGCCTTATGAGCCAATTAAGATGAAGAAGGCCAGTAGCTACAACAAAGTCATGCAGAGCCCCAGTGAGATCCATTGTAAGCATAAAAGAGATGATACCTTGCAGACAACAGCTACAAGAAGGCCTAAACTCCCAAATCAAAAAAGACACAAAATCTTATTATGTTAAATAATCATCTTATTGTTTACTTAAAATGTTAACTGAATCTGGCTTCCCCATTTTGCTTGTCAGAAGGTTGCAAAAAGTGATCACATGACCCCGGGACACTGCAACTGTCATGAGTCAGTTGCCAAGGGTCCAAATTTGGATCACGTCCACCATGGAGATGCTGAAATAGTCATAAGTGTGAAAAAGGGTCATAAGTCATTTTTGTCAGTTCTGACTTAGAATGGTCACTAAATGAACTGTTGTAAATCAAGGACCACTTGTAGTCACAGTTTTGTTATTGATAGCAGCAGCCCCCAATCTTTCCAGCTTGGTGGATGACCTGGTATGGGGGGGGGTGAGTGGCAGATGCATGCACATGTGCACAACTCCATTTGTGTGAATGGCATGCGTGTTGAATGAAATATACTTGCTGAAATATACTTTCGCGCATGACAGGATGCTTCCACTCATCCACAAAACTCCACTCGTGCGAGCAGCAGGCACTTCCACATGAAGTTTCACTCACACGAGTGGAGGGCGCTTGAGTGGAGGGTGCTTGCATGTGAAGCTCCACTTGTGCAAGCTTAGGGCACTCCTGTGCAAAAAGCTCCATTCAAATGAATGGAGCTTCACACACTTGTGCAAGTGCTCTCCGCTCATGTAAGCGCTCTCTGCTGACATGAGTGGAGCTTCATGCATGGACGCTTGTCCGCCACTCACAAGTGGGGAGATTCAACTGTGCACGCTTGCCCATCTCTCCCACAGTCTTGTTTCAAACAGGCCCGGTCTGATAATGGGCCCCGACCCAGGGGTTGGGGACCCCTGATCTATAATTTTATGCTGGGCTGAATAAGAATATAACTGCAGCCATCTATCTATCTTGTGCAATGTTTATTAAATGCTAAGCATCATCTGCATGATTCATTTTTTAAGGTAACACCCATTTGATTTCTCTTTCTTTGGATAGGATTTCTACTACATGGAAGGCAACAAAAAGTCCAAATTGTTCATGAGTTATAGGATATAAACATTACTAGTGTAGAGAATTCACAGAATTATTAGAAGACGGTTCCATAGTTTCTTTTTGTTAAGTGCTTAGAAGACATTTTTAGCTCTTTAGTGGGTGATAATTTCCAAGGCAACACGCGAGAAGACTATTTTTGACTTGATGCTTGCTGACAAAAAAGAAAGAAAGCGTTAACAGTCTGCCTTAAAAGAAGAGGGGATCTTAAGGCCAAAGAAATGGTTCAGTTATCTGAGTGAAAGGAGGAGAACTTCTTAATATACTCCTTGAGATCATGATATTCCAAACTTAAAAAGACCTTTGGCTATGCCTCTTCCAGGATTTGGCTAAGCATATCTCAAATTTACATGTGAAATGCTGCTCTTGGCAGCAGCCTCATATTTCCTGGTTTCCAGATGCGCGAAATCCATGAAGGGCCCGCCAGAAGGTGCTCCTTTGCATTTAGCTCATTATGCTCCTATTCCAAGCAATCTGCTTTATTTGGTCAAGAGTATGATTGGAAGCAGCTGGCTGAACAATGAATTTATACAACAACAAAACCTTTATCGCTGAGAAGAAAGAAACTCATGTTTACACCTGGGAAGCAATATATTTTCCATACTTTTATTTATTACAAAAGGGTCTGATTGGTGATTCAGTGCCTGCCTTAATAACCAGAGGGTGGTGCTTCCCACTCGCACAGCACCTAAGATCTTCAGATGGATTCAGATTAAGTGATAGTCATGACTCTTTCCAATTTTGATGGTTCAAAAAATGCCATCAATTTCCCATGATTTCAGCAGTAGGGAAATATTACATCTCTTTGGGTGCATAACATGGCAGCTGCCTTTCAACCTGTTGTTCGGCTG